TAAGAGAGAAAAATTGGTTTTATATTATTATTCTCCACTGGAGAGTGAGATAGGTATCCCCCAGAGTCTCATCCCCTCCCAAGTAGGCAATGCTCAAAAGAGTTCAAGCTGTCAGTTCTATACAAGGAATCAAAGAAGCTGGCTCTTAGAAGCTACCTGCAATCTCTTCTCACTCCAGTCTGTAACTTTACTACAACAGAAGTGCTTAGGATGCTTATAAACTAGTAGCCTGTTTTCAGTACCTGATATGCTTTATATTTGTGGAGTTCATTCTAGTGTTTCTTACATTCTTACACTCTATCTTCTTACATTTGGATACTAATTGCAGCTCTCCAGCTTAATTATCATAAACTTTATTCAAATAACTGGGGGCCCAGTACATGAATTCATGCACCTTGAAAGGAACTCTTGGCTGCGAGGCTGCAGTGGGCACAGGGGCAGGTCTCAGCCCATCCTCTGTGCTCCGCCCAGCCCTTCCCACCACAGCTACCCCCACCACTACCACCCCCTTCCCCTGTCTGCCAGCAGCCCCGTTCCCACTGCTGCTGCTCCCACACACTGATGGTGCCGGCCCCTCTCGCACCCACTGACAGCACCAAGCCATTGGGGCCGGTGTTGAGTGCTGGCAGTGAGTGTGAGTGGGGCCAGCGCCGGCAGCGGGTGCAAGCGGGACCAGCATCAGCAGCAGGTGCGAGCACCCAGCGGGACCACGGCGCGCAGGAGCAAAGAATTTCAGAAACCACCCGTTGACAGCAACTGGCGCCCTACCTTGGTCTGGCGCCCTCACTCACCTCCACCATCCCACCACAGCTCATGTCCGCCATGTTCCGTGCTCTGCCGCCTGCTGCCCACCATGTTCTGCACATGTCCCCTGGTGGTCAGTGCATGCCATAGTGACCAGTTGTTCAGTTGTTCCACTGTTTGGTCTATTTGCATATTAGGGTTTTATATATATATAGATGATTGAATTCTGTATGTTACCCTCCCCCTACTTTGGGATGGGCAGTCTGTTGTATAAAAGTGAAGAACAGTTTACAGATGACAGTTGGATTCTAGTTATCAAATAGGTTGGGAGGCAGTCAGTAGTTTGGTCAAAGATGGAGCATAGCTTATAAATCCTGGGTACTAATGCATATCTAGGTATAAATCCTAGGTACTAATGCATATCTAGGTACCGGAGTGTTTGTACTATTAGAGGTAGGAAGAAAGGTCCTACAGATTATCTGTTTAGAGTGTGTTGTGTAGTGTTGTAGACCAGGGATTATAGTGATGGATTGTCTGCGTTTTAATCTCTTGTCAGCAATATGAATTTCAGCAATATTTTTGAAAATATACATATATTTTTATTGATGTCAGAGAGGAAGAAAGAGGGAGAGAGAGAGATAGAAACATGAACGATGAAAGAGAATCATCAATTGGCTGCCTTCCACACACCCCTCACTGGGGATTGAGCCCACAACCTGGGCTTGTGCCCTGACCTTGAATCAAATTGCAACCTCCTGGTTCACTGATCAACAGAATTTCAGCAACCCTTGAGTCTCAGATTATTTCTCTGTAAAATGAAAATAGTTACTTATAAAGTTCTCTTGATAATCAAGTGGGGTAATATGTTTAAAAACAGGAATTTTTTTTTAAGTAGGTAGGAAATTGAAACATAAAAGTTAGCATCACAGTCCTGGCCAGATGGTTCATTTGGTTGAAGCATTGTCCCATACACCAAAGGGTTGCTGGTTCAATTCCCAGTTGGGGCACATACCTAAACTGCAGGTTCATTCCCTGGTCAGGGTCTGTACAGGAGGTGGCCAATCGATGTTTCTCTCTCACATTGATGTTTCTTTCTCACTTACTCTCTCTAAAAAGCAAGAAAAGCATATCCTATGGTGATAACTAAAAAAACAAAAATGTTAGTATCTCATTGATTACTCTTCCATAAACTGTTTTATAATCCCTATGGTTTTGGCTCATTTCAGAAAAGACCAATTTATCCTAAGAAATTCTCAAATTTTAACTCTTTGACATGTCTATCCTGGCTTTCCTTGGCTTCTGTGATGAGCACTGACTCGGCCATGAGGCTTTTGATAATTTACTCAAGATCTTGGGTAACTAAGAAGTTATCTTGGACACGAGATGAAGCCAAAAGTGAGAGTATAGGCTTTTAGTAGTAAAAATTTGTGACAAGTGCTTGTTTCTCCTTGCTCATCAATACTAGGTTGACAGAGCTTTTTACTTTACTATCTGATAGGTGAAAAATTGTATCTAACAGTTGATTTGATTTACATCTTAATTTTTAATGAGAATAGAGCCTCTTTTTATCCTATGAATTATCTCTTCCTGTTATTTATTCATTGTTCTGTAGTCTTAGAAATTTGTGAAAATTCTTAGTATATATTGGTGACTTTTTTCCCTACTTCATAATAAAAGAACACAATATAGGTTGGAAGAGCTCACAGTGACATCAGATCCTTGCCCTACTACCACATACTTGCCATTCACTGCTGGCTTTGAAAATATGCTCGTATCCAGGGCTGACTTGAACAATTCCTATAAAGGAAAGACAACCTGATATTTGTTTCTTTGTTCTTTAATTCTTTATTTTCTGGGAAGCAGACATGAATTTCCTGTGCCCTTGTTTCCTGTTTGGGGCCTTTATCAATATAATCACATGGCTTCTGGTATTTCCTTTCAATTGAAGAAACTGAGCTTTGTGGGCTTTGTGGATAAGTACATTTAAAATATCCAAGCACATAACATTTCAGCACAACAAAAACTATGGCTATGAATGCAGGTACTCATTGTTGCTGTCACACACTTTGAAATCCTTTAATACCCCTGTATCTGAGTATTTATATCCCTATATATAATCAAAAAGTTAAAAAACACTTAAACCTGAATTAAAATCCAAAGTATGGTTATTTATGCATATGCAGTTTATTTTTAACATTGTGAATCAAGATACAAAGGCTTTCACACTTGTAATAGCCAAGTACTTTATAAATATAGAAACCCATAGATGTTTAATAATATAGAAGTCTGTCTATTCTGGTAGTTGTTGTCCCCATATAACCCAGTGCAGTCCTTTGGTCTAGCAGTGCAGATTTGGGAATTTAAACGTATATTTTTCTTTCGGCTTCCGTTTTCAGTTTGGCTCAATTTACTTAAATGAATTGGCCAACCTCACTATCTTAGTTTCTTAAGCTGTGAATTTGGTCATACACAATGTTGTTTTCAATGTTGAAAGTTTCAAGTGGATAATGTGAAACATTTTTGATCCTTGACTTAAACACTGAATTATGGTATATTAATTTCTTCAAAGGAACTTCAAGCATGATATAAGTAAACTCATTAATTTTTACAATATGCCTTTGAGGTATGCTGCCAATGTTGTTGCTGCTGCACAAATGGCAGGGCACTTTGAAAGCCTTAGTGATTCATCCAGAAGGACTGAACTAAGTTCATAGGTCATTCTACTCTGACGAATTCCACTCTGTTATTCTGAGGACAGTGGGTTCCTCTCCTATATCGCTATGCAGTGATGATGCTAGATGACTATGTCATAAAGACTATTTTTAGTGCTTTGAGGTGTACTGAGTATATGCTATTGGGAAAACTTGTGAGATTCACCTCTATGTGATTTGAATTGGGAAGGAGTATCTAAGTTTATGAAAAGTTTGAATTATGTAAAAATATTTTTTTGTTAACTCCTACCTGAAACAATATTTAGTTGAGTAGTTTAGATCTAAAGTTCAATTTTTCTGGAGCAGAAGAGGAATTAAATGCTTCTTTAGGCTTTCTTCTTTACGTTATCTTACAATCTCTTGCCATAGGAGACAAAAGCTTCTACCCTAGTTCCCCCTCCCTAAGCAAAGAGCAAGGTAGTGAGCGGTACTTCTTCCCTAGCCCTAAGGCAGGCTGACTTGAACAAACCCCTCTGGCTCCAATACATTAAGCATGTGGACTGAGTGACCCTGGCCACTACCATTTGTTGTAACAACTTCAATGTGTGGTATAAACCCATCTCTTGTGGAAGGGAAACTCATCTAGTTTCTACTGCTTTGGCAGTCATTCTGACTCTTAAAAACATGTTTTTAAATGGATAAAATAAAATTGTAATGTTTCCTAGGAAACCAAATATATTAGACAAGTTATAATAGTAGAACAAAAATTTTTATGTAATATGTAACATTCTAATAGCTATCATTTTGAACAAGTATAAGTGTAAAGCTATTGTGAAAAATCTATAATTGTAATATAATATGACTGTTTTAAACCTTATCGTAAAATAGAACATAATACTAGTTGGTAGAAGGTTTTAGTTGTAATTTCTCTTCTCCTATGGACCACCATGGAACAAAGAGACTTGAAGACAACTCTTTTAATCTATTGGTGCATCTGGAAAATCATAACAGTACTCAATAGTTTGAATTCTCTCCAGCCATGGGCTCTAGAAATACCTAAAATGAATGATATATATTAAAACACTTGCTTGGAAATTAAAGTGTAAGAGGGTATGTATTCTATAAAAAAAAATTATTCTGGGGCTGGAAAGGGAATTATATTCCTTACCTTGTACATAAGGATGAGTATTTCCTGGAGAAAAGAAAAAAGTGAATGCCTTTAAATAATGAAGTTTTGTCATCAGATCGTTTTTACTCCTATTCTGCTTTGAGTAAAGGGATAAAAAAGTGTTTATAAAGTGTCCCCCAACCCCTTCTTTTTGGTAAAAGACTTAACTAGGTTTTTGTTTTGAATTCAGAAGAAGAGGGGTAGGGTGGTTGTTCTTGTTGTTGTTGTTGTTGTGTGTGTGTGTGTGTGTTTAATTGTGGACTGAGAATGCTTGTGTTATGTATTCATCCAGCCCCCCCCCCTTTATCTCTGGTATTGAGATTGTGTTGAAAATATGCTGAGATAACAATACTTGAAATTTAGCTACTTTTGACTTGAGATAACTCTATGGCATTAAGTCCTTTAAACTTTCTTCTGTTCAAATAAAAGAATTCTCTTCCATCAACTACCCAAAGAAATTGCCTGAAAAAAATCAGCTGGTGAGATTTCAGAGAATTATTTTTTCCATTGGCACTCATGTGACTTTTTCATTACACAATAGGACTTAGATCAAAATGTTTACATGTTCAAGTTTTTTTAGTGGAGGGTGAAGGGAGGGGGACAGAGGCACTGGGAGAGAAAACATGCAAATATGACAACCACAGAGTTCTGGCACAAGGTAGGGGAAAGAATGTCTTTGGATATAAATCTTTGCAATAAAAGGCAGCAAATTCTATTTACTTGACTAGACCTATAATGATCATTGCCTAATATTTTCTCTATTTTCCCCCTTTTTCTTATAAGGTAAATTTGAAGAAAAAGAAGATAGTGTGCCTAAGCTAGAGCAGCTCAACAGCCTGGGTTGTATGACTAATATGAATCTAGTATTGACAAAACAAAATTTGCTACATATGGAACTATTATTATTAGAAACTTTTCAGTGGAACCTCTGCCTTCCAACAGCTGCCCATTTCATCGAGTATTATCTCTCTGAAGCAGTACACGAAACAGATCTTCATGATGGCTGGCCAATGATTTGCCTGGAAAAAACTAAACTCTACATGGCCAAGTATGCAGATTACTTCCTAGAAGTATCTTTGCAAGGTGAGTGATTGTGGATGCCAGTAAGTGACTTGTGAGCTTGTGACTTGTGTATTTTGTTGCTTAAGTTCATTTTTGATGTCTCCACAGATTATGCCTTTCTAAATTATGCACCTTCTTTAGTAGCTGCTGCATGTGTGGCTTCTTCAAGGATTATACTTCGTCTTTCTCCAACGTGGCCTACAAGACTTCATCGTCTTACTGCTTACTCCTGGGATTTCTTAGTGCAGTGCATTGAACGGCTATTGATGTAAGCCTCTCTGTTCTTTTGTTTGCAATTTCTCATAAATATTTTTCTTCATGTATAAGGGGCCTTAAAAGCAACTTTTCAAATGCATGGAGCTTTTAGGGTATTTGCTCTGATAGCTTTTGCTGCCATGAACAAGCTGTTGTAAGAGTGATACTTGGAAAGGAAGCCCCTTTTGGCTGTTATCCAGGTCGATGCCATTGCTAGTATGATTCTGAGTACATGATAAGGAAAGAAGCTGCTCTGGTGCAAGCCCATGGTTATGAGATCAGTCCAGACAAATCTTGCCTTGCTCTTCATTACCACATCTTTGAATCATTGAGCCCCAGGATGTCACCAAAGTAGGGGTTACAATTAAGTGCTTATTGTAGATATATCTCCCAAGCTAGACATAATCTTTAAAGCTACCAGCAGCGGGTTCCCTAGGTTTGTACTAAGGGAAGGACCTCTTAGAAGGATAAATGTGATCTCACTGTTGTTGAAATTGTGGTTACATTGACAGCTTTCTAGGTTTAGTGGTGCTGTCTGTGGAGTCAGCTGTGGAGGAGTTGGGGGTGGTGCATGACTTTCTACAAATTCTTCTCAAATAACATTAGCAGTTTCCTTTCAATCCATGTTGTAGTGCTCATGATAATGATGTGAAAGAAGCAAACAAACAAAGAGGACAAGCAGTACCTCAGCCAGCACAACTAAGTGTGTTCCAGACAACATCCCAGCCCTCGAGGTCAGTTCACTTTCAACAACCTCAGTATCTCCATCAGACGCATCAGACCTCACTGCAGTATCGCCATCCTATATCAGAGCAACCAAGCTGTCAGCAGATTGTATCTACCACACACACCTCATCTTACACACTACAGACATGTCCTGCTGGGTTCCAGACTAGTGTTCAGGGCCTTGGGCATGTGCAGACTGGTGTTGGGATGTCACTGGCAATACCAGTGGAAGTTAAGCCCTGTCTAAATGTTTCTTATAACCGGAGTTATCAGCTAAATGAACATTTCCCTTGCATTACTCCATGTTTTGAAAGGTGATTTTGTGTGATGGTAATGGTAACACCTGATCCAGACTGTTTTGTGACTTGAAGCTGTGGGCCAGCTTTTTGTAAACTTCTCTAAAGGGATTCAAATTGCATCAGAACTCTTTAAATAGCAGCACCAGGAAGACTGAATATCCCTTTGAATGCACCATGAATACTGGGAGGACTAAGCACACACTTTAACAGTATGTATGTCAAATTCTGTTAAATAGCTACATGACAAAAATTGTCAGCCCCTGCTGAGGGTCCAAGTATTTCAAAAATATTCAATACAACAAAATTTGGACAGTTTCTATCCATTTTGCTGTTTTGAAAGTTAACCTGTGGTGGGCTCTGCGCCTAATGTTGGCTTATATTGTCAGAGATTAATAGTTGTCTGTGTACTTGCCAAATAGTCTTTTTATGAAGGAAAGTTACAGTATTAATTTTTGAAGAGGTCCTTTTTTTTTATTCTGCAGTTTTGAGTTATATTCTTGTTCTACAAGTGATTTTTTGACTTAAGTTTAAACTCATGAATTGCCATACCGATCTGTACAGTAAAAATAAATTTTTTAGATGAGTCTATATAACTTCCTATCACAAGATAGTATAGGTACCTGATTTATGTACTAAAATTAAGGATGAAGTAGATCTCTTAAAATCATGGCCATAAATTGTTGTTTTTTTTCCCTAAGTGACCAACCTCAAATCTTTAGAATTAAAACACATTTATCTCAGGGAATTTGTACTACTTGGAAACACTTAACTGTAATGCAACATGTTTTGGGAATGTTTTAGTATGAGCTACCTTTATAACATAGGTTAAAATACTCCTGCTAGGATGTATTTTCAAATGAGAACATAATTGTAGCTTAGAATGAATGAAATGGTGGTTTCTATCCTTCATAATACATATATAGATTTTGCATTTCTCAGTGCAATGATTTATACTCAGATTTGATTTTACTCTAAAGGAGTTTTTTTTTTAAGATACTCAGATTTGATTTTACTCTAAAGAAGTTTTTTCAAGGGAAGGCATAACTGTAAAATGTCAGTACTAGAATAAAGTTTTGTAGGTTTCTTTTTAAGTGAATGTGGCCAGGGTAGTTCTCAGGTTGTGCTAGAGCAGCACTTTGTTACATGGAAGACAGGTTTTATAAGCAACCTTTGTGTCCAGCTAGTCAGTATAAGCAGGCAAGAGTGTTGATTACTAAACTTCAGTAGCCATTTTCAATAGATTGGCCCCAGAAACTGCCCTGGGACTTTTCACTATACTGGTAATGAGTGAAAACAGCAATGATAAGTCATTACAGCAAGGGCAATTTGAGGGTAATGAGTTTGGAGGGAGTAAACATAAAAAGAAAAATCATTGTAATAACTGAAACTATATACATTGTGCTCTTATCTGTGGGAGAAGAGAGATTTGGTGGAGGGAAGCTTTCTGATTTAAAAATTAGTAAGGTGTGTCTTTTTGTTTGTGTTTTTTTTTTTTTTTTTTAAGATAGCACTTGAATAGAAGGGAAACTGCATGGCAGGTAGGCGACCGCCACAATATGCATTGAAGACAAACATAAAGATGTGGGTATGCAGCAAGAGTCTCAGTAAACAAGCCAAATGGCTTCTGTTAGGAAGGGAAGGGACTCAAAAAATGATCCAAATGGCTCCAGTGGATAAGTGTGGGTGGGTGGCTTCTGCCAGTGTGAATTCTTAGAGAATGTCCTTTCCTTAAAACAGAGGTAACCTTTATAATTAGAGTACATAGGGCATGATGTGGATTTATTAGTCTGGTAGATAAAAATAAAAAATTAAAAACCACTCAGGTAAGAACACTTACATGGCAGTTTTCAAGCATGAAAATTGTTTTATGAAAGTATCATCATTTTTCCTCTTTATAGAAGGCTGCTAATTGAATTTTGGTAGTTCTTACCTCAAGAGAACTTGAATTATTTTGGGGAAGGTGGGTTCATTAGAATATATCTTTAGTATTCACATTCAGAACCCAGCAACCTGGAGTCCAATTTTCAGTGTTTTAACTACCTCAGTAATACTATGAATGTAAGATACTGGGATAGAGATCCCAACTTGAAACAACAACTGGTGCCTATCGTAATTTAATGTATTGTCAAATGCTTTTATTGATTGGTTTAAATGTCATTCTTGTTATAGAATATGCCTTTTTAAAAAGCTTATAATAACCCACTCCCAGTTTATATTTAAAAAAGCTAAAGAACACTGGATTACTTTGGGTGGGGGGGGAGGTAGAATAAAATAATTGGTTATTATTGCTGCATACCCAGGGTGGGGTGGGATGGGGTTGTTGGAGAACCAGAACTATTTTTAAAACATTAGATTTCAGTATGAATTCAAGTCACAACTGCTAGCTTTGGGAGGTGTGGGTGGGGGGAGTTATGTGGGTTTCGTTTTGTTTAACTTATTGACTAGTCTTTAAAGTAGGTCTTCTTTTTTTTATATATTACTGGACCATCATTAAATGTGTACTGTGAAGAGATTAATGATGTGTATAAAGGGCTTTACCAAAGTCCACTGAATAAACACTACTCAAATACAGACTGCAAACCAAATGTATCTGTTATAACATTAAAATGCAAATGGCGAGTATGGTGCTAAAGTCTACACCCGTGGAGTTAGATGAGTGCTATGCACTTAATTTTAAAATAAAACTAGTTTTCAATAAAATGGTTTTGGTGTTTTGTTTTTTAAATGTAAATTTGATGTATACTTGCATCTTCATTGAGCCATGTCATCATATAAGTCAGACTTGAAATCACGATGATACTTGCTAAGAGGCATCTAGATGTAGAATATAACTGTAGTGGTGGGAAGCATTTGTCCATTCATTGTGTTTTCCACACTGAGCATCAAAGCTCACAAAAGTATATTGAACGCAGTTTTGACGCTTTTGAGCTTCCAGTTAGGTGTGTGTTAGCAGTGTCTAATTAAACAATGCAAGCTTCAGAAAATTGAAATCTAATTCAAAGAAAATAGTCAAGCGTGTGAGAGGGAACAGGGTCAACAGTGAGTGATAATGGTCTGTTCACCTAAGTTTAAGTATTATTTGCTACTAATTCAACTTAAAACTTAGATATAATTTGTTCTGAAGAGTAAAATTTTAACAGGTTTGTGTGGGTTAGGAATTCACACTCCTAGAAAGCATTTTTTAAATTAGTCTTATGTATTGTCAGTTGCTCTGGCACAGAAGCAGGGTTTAGCCACAGCCCTTATGAGAATCAATACACAATGATCTTTGAGGCTGAATTTAAGAAACAGAGCAATAAGCATTCCAAATCAGGACAGGTAGCTTTACTTTGAGGTGATTCTGAATCCCATGTGACATGTTTTTAATCATCAACAACTGTCCTTCTCAAGTTCATGATAAAAGATTTACCTCCCTAGCCATAAGCAGCTTATATTTAGCTTGATATGACTAGCACACTTGAAACAATTGGAATTATATAGTCTAGAACTCAGTTTAATATTATTTTGATTTCAGGATCACTAGCTTACAAAGTGGTAGTATCATTTTGCCTTCCCACAAGCATTGAGAGTTCCTGTTGCTCTACATCCTCACCAGCCTTTGGTGGTGTCAGTGTTCCAGATTTTGGCCAATAGATGTGTAGTGGTATCTCATTTAAAAAATCCCTTAGATTAAAAAAAAAAGTGGCCACGCAGGCGTGGCCCATTGTTTTGAGCATTGACCTATGAACCAAGAGGGTTCAGTAAACAGGAGGGTCAGGGCACATTCCTGGGTTGTGGGCTCAACCCCTAATAGGGGGTGTGCCTGAGGCAACCAATCAGTGATTCTCTCATTGATGTTTCTGTCTCTCACTTCTCTGAAAGCAATAAAAATATATCTTAAAAAAACATGTGACAAGTACAGTTATTTGAAAGAAACCATCAAGACCATACTCTGCCTTCTATGGGAAAGATACTTGCTGCTACCCTACCCCACTGCAACTGTTGTGTGTATTTTTAAGACTATTTGTTTAGAGCAGTTTTAGGTTCACAGCAAAATTGAGAGGAAGGTAGAGATTTCTCAGGTACCTCCTGCCCCACCGCATGCACAGCCTCCTCCATTTTCAGCATCCCCAACAGGGTGGTACATTTGCTACAAATGATGCAGCTACATTCACTCACCATAATCACCCGAAGCCCATAGTTTACATTATGGTTCAGTCTTGGTGGTATACATTCTTTGGGTATTCATCATGGTTACATATAAGTATTTTAACTGCTAAAAACCCTCTATACCCTACCAATTCATCCTTCCCCATACTGTTCCCCAACCCTTGGCAAAACACTGATCTTTTAGTCTCCATGATTTTGCCTTTTCTAGAATGTCATACAGTTGGGATCATATAGTATATAGGCTTTCCAGATTTTTTTTCCACTTAGTAATGTGCATTTACTAGTAAGGTTCCTTTATGTCTTTTCATGGAGTGATAACTCTTTTCATTGTCTGGATGGATCACAGTTTATTTATCCAGTCATCTACTGAAGGCCATCTTGGTTGCCTCAAAGTTTCAGTGATTATGAATAAAGCTGCTGTAAACACTTGTGTGCAGGTTTTACTGTGGGCATAAGTTTTAGCTCCTTTGGGTAAATGCCAAGAATCACAGGGTTAGAGTATGTTTCATTTTATAAAAAACTGCCAAACTATCTTACGAAGTGGTAGTATTATTTTGCCTTCCCACAAACACTGAGAGTTCCTATTGCTCTACTAGTAGATCCTCACCAGCCTTTGGTGTTGTCAGTGTTCCAAATTTTGGCCAAACACTAGTAGATGTGTGGTGGTATGTCATTTTAATTTGCATTTCCCAAATGACAATTGATGTGGAGCAACTTTTCCTTTGCTTATTTTTTATCTGTATACCTTTGGTGGGTGGTGTGTTAAGGTCTTTAGTTCATTTTAAAAATCAGGTTGTTTGTTTTCTTACTGATTTTTAAGAGTTCTTTGTATATTTTGGATAACAACCCTTTATTAAATGTGTCTTTTGTAAATATTTTCTCCCAGTTTGTGGCTTGTCTTATTCTCTTGACATTGTCTTTTGCAGAACAAAGTTTCTGATTTTAATGAAGTAAAGCTTATCAATCATTACTTATAGAAGGGAATTACAGATACTGAAAGTCTGACTAAATAGAGAATTGAGGGTATTATATAATCAGGGCATTACCAAGGTAACTATTGGAATAAAAATTAAACCTTTCTAATTATCAAAAGAAATACAGCAAACAAAGCAAGCAGTCTATGTAGTAGTAAAATATTTTTTAAAGGTATAAATACAGAAAGTTTAGCAAAATACTGTGACAGAACTAAGACCAAACATTACATCAAAAAATGTAAATGGGCTAAAAATCAAACTATTAAGAGAAAAAGAATTTTAGACTAAATCACAAAGCAAAACTCAATTCTGTGCTATATTAAAGACCAACAAAAATAAAATGATTTACAAGAGTTGAAGATACAAGGATGAGTAAAGAGATATTACTCAAACAAAAAGCAACATCTTAAAACAGATAAGGCTGAATGAAGGCCCAAATGTATTAAACTAGACTAGAAAAATGGAGGGGGGGCGCACACTATAATGTTAAAGGCTATAATCTATATACATAAAAAGCCAGCAACTGGAATGCTGTAATGACGAACAACCAGTTGCTATGATGCCCACTGTGGCCAGCGAACTACCAGATGGTGGCGGGGGCTGGCTGGCCAACCTCCCTTGGCTCCTACCCCCAGCCAGCCCTGCCCCTGATTGCCCCTCCCCACGGCCGACCCCGCCTCTATCAGCCCCCCAACTCCAATTGGGGACAGGGCCCACTGGCCAATCCCCCTCGACCCCTCCCTACAGCCTGCCCAGCTCTGTTCAGGCCCTGATTGGGGTGGGCCAGCCGGCCAACTTCCCACCATCTCCTCCTCCCAAGAGTCCCGGCCCTGATCTGCCCCTATTGGGTCCTGGCTGGCCGAACCCCACCCAATCACAAATTCGTGCACTGGGCCTCTAGTTTATGATAAAGATGAACAATTATGAATATCTGTGGATCAAATAACCTTGCCACAATATTAAGTAAAAACTGTAGAGGATATAAGGAGAAATAAAAGAAAAACATGGGTAGTAAGAAACTAATTCATCTCAGTCTATGATCAAAAATTTAAAAATTAAGTAAAGATATAGAAAATCTTAACATTATGGAGATCTGATAGACATATATTGAGAAATTCTTAGAAGGGAAATGGTACAGATCTGGCATAACTAAAATGGACAAGATAACAAAGGACATCACAGACAGAACCTGTCACTCATATCAATAGCAACACTGTCGCAGTCGTCTGAAAGTCCTCAGACAACTGGAATTGCTTTCGTTGGTTTACCCATCTAAATGCATAAGATCAGAACACACTGCTAGCTGCCAGCTAATCTTGCAGCTCACCCAAAGGAAACAATATCTGTTGCCAATCTGCAGAAGTATTCCCATTTTTGCCTTCATTAGATGAAAGTAGTCCATTACTGGTTTTCCTTATGCACAAGTAAGTAGTGTACTAATACTAGTAACTAACTGTACCTAAGTTTGCCTTGGTAATATTAAACTCCAGTGTGAACATGCATATAACTTGACTCTGCATTAATCCATAAAGAAAACTGCAACAAATCCTCAAAACTAGAATTACTGTAGAAAACATACTCTCATGAAAATGCAGTTAATAAAATATATAGAATAGGACTCAAAAAACCCCAGACAATCCTTCAATCAAATAAGAAATCCAACCCCAAATTTCAGAGTATCTGTAGAATCACTATAATGAAAATTCTACACATCAGAAACTCAGGGATAAAACTAAAATAATGCTCAAAAGAAAATTGACATGCATTGAAAAAGTCTAAGAATGAGCAAGTAAACCAAACAAAAACTGAAGGAAAAGAGTAAGGTAAAAGCAGAAATTAATAAAAGATAAAAAATACATGTATGCAATGCAGCTAGACAAAAGAAAATAGAGTTTAAAAGTTGCAAAGGAAGAGGTGAAATTACCACTATTTGCAGATATACCGTAATTGTAAACCTGGAAACTCCACGATAATCAACTGAAAAACTACTACAGACAATAAGTGAATTCAGTAAAGTGGCTGGGTACATAATTAAAGTAGCTTTTATATATACACACAACTATCAGATTTAATAAGAGATATGCTCAATTACTGGTATAATGGCCACCAAAAGAAGATAAAATGCCTAGCAATAAATATAAGAAATGTACAAGATCAATATGACCAAAAACTTTAAAATACTTCTGAGTTACACAAAAAAGCACTTGAGCAAGGCATGCCATATTCTTGGATAGGAGGTATCAACATCATAAATATATTGATTCTCCTTAAATTAATTTATAAACTTACAATCAAGGTAATTTTTAAAAATAAATGAGCAAAAAAGAAAAATAAATGAGCAAGAATGATCAGGAAACACTGACCTCTGATATATTAAAAATATTATAAACCTGCAATAAATAAAACACTATGCTACTGGCATATGAATTAACAGATAATTCAGTAATACAGAATAGATTCCAAAAATAAACCTAAACATGTGGAATTTAACATGCAATAATTATGGTATTTCAAATCAATGGAGGAAAATATGCATTGTCCAATAAATTAAGTTGGGAAGCCACCTGGAAAAATAAAATGGCTCCCCATTTTAAAAATTTAATTTTGAAAGAGAAGTCATGGAAGAATTATTTCACGACTTCATAATAATTATTAATAACTTAGAAAAGGGAGTAAGTTTTCTAAGTATGTATAAGAAATCTAGAAGCAATAACATTTATGTAAATTTTTTTTCCTGTATGGCAAAAATCACCATAATCAAAGTTAAAAGATAATAAACAATATGGGTAAAGTAGTTGCAACTAATCTCCAGGCAAGGGCTAATTTTCCTAACACAAAGAGGGAATAATATAAATAGGCAGTTCCCAGAAACAAACAAATGTCTTGGAAAACAAAATGTTTAACCTCATTTTTAAGCTTGATAAGAGTGTTACAGTGGGGAGGCTTCATCCTACATTACTTATGGGCATTTTGGATTAATCAAATCCTATGAAGGGCAATTTAGTAATACATATCAAAATTACAAATGCAAAAATATTTTGACCCAGAAATTCCACTTCTGGGAATGTATCCTACAGGTAGAGTTATATACATATGAAATGAGGTAGGCATAAATTATTTCACCATTGTTGATTAGAACAAAAGATGATAAACAACTTACATATTCATCAATAGAAGACTTCATTTTATTAAAAGAACGAAGTATTTTTTTATACAAACTGATATGGACCATATTCAAGATGTATCAAAGAGTATAGAGCAGTAATGGCGAACCTATGACACACGTGTCAGAGGTGACACGCGAACTCATTTTTTTTGGTTGATTTTTCTTTGTTAAATGGCATTTAAATATATAAAATAAATGTCAAAAATATAAATCTTTGTTTTACTATGGTTGCAAATATCAAAAAATTTCTATATGTGACACGGCACCAGAATTAAGTTAGGGTTTTTCAAAATGCTGATATGCCGAGCTCAAAAGGTTTGCCATCACTGGAGAGTATGCTGCTATTACACCAATGCTTACAGGATCACATGAATTATCTTTTTGGTTTAATG